TTGCGAAAAGGATGAAGTACCATGTATCAATTCCTTGTGACTGCAATTGCCTTTCGGTCCGCGTTCTCCTCATCAATACGTATAATCCTTTTTGCGAGCTCAAAACTTCTCAGCGCAGTTGAACAACACTGTCTAAGAGCCGTGAGGCTCAAACCACTAAAACTTGCATCAGAGAGCAAAACATTTTGGTGCTAACTTAGTTGGGGGGGGGGCACGCGGCGGCGCGGCAGTCTGCTCACCTGGGCTCTCTCGAGCGAGACAGTGTAAACTCGAACATTCCAGCTTTTCACGCATGTCAAGTGACTGCCCCACCCCACCCCCCCTAGGCTGGCTACACTCCCCCTGGCCCACGGATTTCCGAACATTAGGCGAGGTGGGGTAAGGCGCGGTCAGTTTGTAATGTTGGCTGCCGACTGACTAAATGAAAAAAAATCAAGCAAGTAAAGGCTTATCGGTGGTTTGCTTTGAAGCGTCAACCCCAATTTGATTTGGGGTTGTTGCTTTCGAAGCAACCACCGATAAGCCATTACCAAGTATTCCCTCTCTTCCTCTGTGAAATAAGGAAGGAGCAGGACCGGACGAGTTTTCTGTGCTTGCTTGCTCCACGACTGCATTACCCGCGCTTATTTGAATCAGCCGCTACGCCGTAATCCAAGCTGGGTATCAAGGGGTGTGCACGAGGTATTTTGTGCATGTTTGCGTTAGTCGGCAGATAACTTTGTAAGGCTGGTGTCAGAGTCCGCGATTCGATTTGCGCGATTTTCGCGATTTGCGCGATTTGCGCGATTTTTGCGAAACCTGCGATGGGTCACAGGAGTTGGAGGTGCCCCGATGAATACTGCGAGGTGCTGTTTAATCCTGGAAATTGAAGGAAGACTGCCCGTGATTCTACTCGTTTAATGTTATGTCTATTATTCATTGAAATGCTCATTCGTTCACCCCCTAGCATTCTTCTGAACTGAATCCATGGTTTTCCCGCTCTTTTCCTCCCGGCACTTGGTTGTGTCACAGCGCATTACACGTCTCTCATTCAAACTTGAGTAGGGGGGAATAACTGAATGGGCCGAGGGAACAATAACAAGACGCGCTCAGCCGTGAAATCCCAACCCCGAATTGTTCGTTCACAGTAGCCCTCGCCAATACTGAAGAATTGTTACCCTAAAACCAGTGCGGTTTTCAAAGAATTTCTACGGTAACAATTTCTGTTGATGACGGTTCTCATTTTCCACCATTAAAAGCAAACAAAAAGAAAAAAGCGGTGTTCCATGATTATGCAAACAAATGTAGAAATTGACATGTAATAATTGAATATAGGATTTCTAGGTGTACTTATTTCAGCACGATTCCACTAGTTTTAGGACCAATTGCCCGATAGCTCAATAAAATGCGCCCAAACTCCTTCATTGGTCTGCGCCAGACAGAAATAACGATCTGCGATTCCCTAGAGAATGACATATAATTACCATTATTGATGTCACATGCAAGGTCTGCTTTTCCAATTACTTCAGACAATATCCTCAGACATTTTTGGCGCTGCAATTTGAAGAGAGCGTGCTGGGCGCCGTACCAGGCACCTCCGTTTTGTGCCATTATCGATCCCAATCGAGAACACAGAACATTGCAGCGACTCTGTTTCTCTTCACGTCCTTTTTTTCTGCTCATTTTGAAAAAATAGATATTCCTAGAACTCTTTGAGAATGCAAAAAACTCCCTCTAACTTTTGTCGTACATATTAGGCAACTGAAAGACTTCTAATCGTAAGTTTCAAAAAAGGATTTTCCAATAATTATTTCTACGCCTTCAGTGTGGGTGTCTGTGAAAAATGGGTTGCGCATACATAGGCAATGACCTGACATTCGTTCTACTTCATTGAATCTATTCACATAGGGTTTTGCATTTGCACGAGAGATTGGTTTCGAATTAAATTTGTGGGAAATTGAGGACAGAAGCTAGGAATCTAGAGAATAATCCACTTGGAACACTGCTTAATTCAAACTGGAATGCGGAAATTGGTTATATTTGAAAAGCTCCAAACCCAGCAACTCTTGCAAGGATGAAACAACCAGGAGAAATGAAAAAGGAAAAGCATCTAGCTACTCAAAAACTTTCCTTTAAATCGATAGAGGTAAATTTAGGTAGAGGTTGATTGGGTGCGTACCATCAGTAGGTTTTTAATTGACCAAATTCCAAAAATGTTAGATGGGAAGCTGATAAATGGGGCATTAATGTAGGTTTATGTGACAGTCCCCTCACATCCATGACTGTTATTGACACTGTCTATCTTTCGTATAGCAGCGTAGCTAATTGATTGACTTCCTCAAATGTTTCCCCATTCCTTACACAATGTGGAAAGTTTGAATTCCCCGCACTTCATTCGAACTCATGCAATTTCTATTCTAATGAGCTAATCTGACTTGAAGTACTCGGCAATGCTAATGAATTCCTTGCCATTGAATTTATTTGGTTCGTTAGAACGGGAATCTTTTTTTGTGTAATCGACGTCCTCAATGGGGAACATGAAAATGTTGCGAAATCGAAAATTTTGCATGAAACTTCGTTCCCCGCAAAACTAATCCGCATTTTTGCGGTTTTGGTAAGAAACGCAATTGTGTTTTTGAATTACCGACCCCTCACCTCTTCACTTTCAGCCGTTTTGCCTAAACGTATTATGCTCTAACTACAGCTCCCTGCGGGGTTTCATGACCCAGTCAACATGCGCGCTCCACGGCCAACGTTTAGATTTGCAAGCACGCCGATTACTGTATTATCTGATTCGATGTCCCAAATTTCGCGGCGTACGCTGTTCACTCTGTGCTCGTCGTGATTGCGTGTGGTTGGTTTGAGCTGTTGTTGTTTGTATCTAGTATTTGGTCGTTGTAGAACTCTCCTCGACTACAATCATGCGTGAAATCGTTCATGTACAAGCCGGTCAGTGCGGTAACCAGATCGGATCAAAGGTTCGTGGTCTTTCAACTGTGTTCTTTCCGGGAAAGCGACGGATTCTCACTGTATATTTGGCCCTGACCAGTGCGTTTCGCTATCCTCATTTGTGCAGTGGTGCAGTGGAGGGCAGAGAGGTTGAGGTTCTATGAGTGGCCAGCGGTGACTCATCGTCGTATTGGTCGCGGCTCTGCACCGACGCCATCAATGAATGGCGACTGCACGATATTTCCGTCGATCAAAAAACTAGCGCGGGGCGATGGAATCCGAAAAAGTAATATGGGAGCGATTTCGAAATGCGATAAGCCGTAATCGTTCCCTGTTGACAGTCATCTTCACGCAAACTAGTATTTAGGTCATTACATTGTCGGTGAAATCAATAGTTGCGTATAAATCCCAACGGTATTAACCTAGTGGGGGGACCACTATCTCTCTGAGGCTCCGTCTGCATTATGACACTGTGTTTCGGAACTGCCGCGGTGCGGCGAAATAGTGACGGTCTCTATGACCAAGCCATATAAGAACAGACGATCGGAAGCCGTGCCGCTGTTGATCCCTCCCCCAACTAGTTACCACTCAGTTCGCTTTGAAATTGACCGTTGCAAAACATGCAATGAAAGTGGTATCACTGGTTCTTGGAATCGAAACAGTTCCTAGGATCAATTCTTTTAGAACAGCCTATCATCATTATCACTGTCGTGGCTAGGCAACTATGAGTGTGATTATTTTTAGTTCTGGGAAGTGATCTCTGATGAACACGGTATCCAACCCGATGGAACCTACAAAGGAGAATCGGACCTGCAATTAGAAAGAATCAATGTGTACTACAATGAGGCACATGGTTGGTCCGCTTTCTTGTACCATTTTATTTATTCTCGATTCAATTTTTTACAAAAAATTCATTTATTGGATCATCTCGATATCTTTTCAACTACACAGATCGCGTGACTAATGCACTTCTCCTTGTTGGGATAACAAATGTGACATTCTTAACATTCACGTAGAACCGAACGACCCCTTGGTAGACGGACTACTTGAACTCTGACCCTTAAACCGCCTCAGTTGGTGCTTCTGCCTGCGCTCTCTCGCGGATCCCTTCCCTCTCCAAGGCTTAGTCCCAGGGCTTCACCCGTTCTCTAATCGTCTGTGCTCTCCGCCATTCGTGGCAGGACCATAGACGAAAATTCAAGTAGTCCGTCTACCAAGGGGTCGTTCGGTTCTACGTGAATGTTAAGAATGTCACATTTGTTATCCCAACAAGGAGAAGTGCATTAGTCACGCGATCTGTGTAGTTGAAAAGATATCGAGATGATCCAATAAATGAATTTTTTGTAAAAAATTGAATCG